AAGCATAGCTAGTATTTTCGCCGCAGAGCTCTATGGCGTATTGACATCATGGCAAGCAAAACTATTAAAGTTGTTCTCTTTGTGGACTCACAGGGTGTTGTTTCAGCCCTCTGCTCAGTAAAAGAGACCAAAAATAAGCTTACCCCATTAGTGCGATTTAAAATCAATAGTTCTTTTGTTCGTGGCCATGATATAAAGTTTTGCTGGATCCCCAGTCATATTTGACTTTTGGGCAATGAAAAAGCAGACCAGTTGACTACCTCCACAAAAAAATCTCACGGTGACCTCTAATGGCCTACCGTACCAAGATGTAAAGCCCCTCATTAAAAAAGCACTTCTCCGAACGTGGCAGTCTGAATGGGGACCATGAAAGTGAAAATAAGCTCCATGTGGTAAAACCAGGTTTAGGATTGTGGGAGAGTGTATCTCATGAGAATCGCTTTATCGAAGTTCTCCACTGCCGCCTTAGAATTGGACACAGTTTCTTTACACATCGGCATCTCCTTTGTGGAGGGGACGCTCCAGTCTGTGAGCACTGTGGCGAATCACTAACGGTCCTTCATATTCTATGACTCTGTTCAGGTCTTGAGCAGAACCGACGTGCTTGCTTGCCGGACTTTTTCGCATACAATATTCCTTTCCATCCTGCGCTCTTAGTGGGTAAGCACCCCATCATTCCCTTTAATCGTGTCATTACATACTTAGAAAAAAGTGTTTTTACGTCGATTTTAACTTCCATATCCCTCTTTCATCTTCTACCAATAACACAACTTTTGTTGCAGAGCTGGTTTCACTGTGAGCCTTCCAAGACTATTACATCTGCTTGGCGTAGTATGGCCTTCGTCGATTTTGCGCCAGTAAACCACCAATACAACTACTACTACTCCCTAACGATATCTCACGGTTTTCCTGTTACGGTATTTAAAGTTTGGGAAATCGCATTTTCGAATCGTAACCATCGCCACTTCCGCTTGCTCTTCATTAGGCACCAAAATGGCTGCGCCCGGAAGGAAATTTGGGAACAAAATGTCGACATACTGAGCCTAGCTAATTTTGTGACTCTAGCGCAGCCCGATAAAATTCTCCAGTATTCAAAATCAGCATGAGTCTTTGAAATGGGATTTTGTAAACTTTAAGCCACAAAATATTAAACTTACTTCTAATATTCTCAGACGAAAATTTGTCGAAGGAGGCAGAAGTCGACATATAGGTTCCAGAACCACTTTACCGTCTGTTTAAAAACGTTACTCACGTGATGCTTGCACCCGCGCGTCTTTTACGACACGAAGTGGACACAAAAACTCCAGCGCGTTGTCGCGTCACGGCGGATCGTTTAAATTTGCCCGTGTATCACCTCGCTGTTTAAGATAACCGTGCCGAGAGCACAACCATAACTAGGTTGTTTAGAAAGAAATGTTTTCTCGGGTAGTGCAAGTTTTTTTGACGCCGATGCGGGTAACATGCAGAAACGAATGAAGGCTACTGGAACACAGCTTTAACGTCTTCAGGCGCCTGTTATATGTAGAGACTACGGCAGACATTTGTAGCCATTGAAAAGGTGCTTTAATCTGTACATGTAAAAGGTGCCCTATTCTGTACGAGTCAATGGGGCCAATCAGTCTTCTTGCAAAGAGCTAAATCGCGATATTTTTCGCGTTTGAAGGCCTGCGTTACCGCCAGCTGATCACATCAAATGCGACGAATCTGTTGTGACGTCGCGTTTTTAGTCTGTGCTTTTGGGTTTGTGTTGCAACTATAGCTTTCGGCTCTGCTCGGACTAAAAATGAAGTGGTGTATCGCTGCTGTATTGATATGTAGTCAACCGTCGAGATACAAGAACGAAGTGTGCGAACCACAATGGTGCCCGGGGTTATCTAGTCAGAGGTGCACGTGATCACAGATTGCGTTAAGACCATAGAACGAGGATCACGAAAAGCACTTTAGTGCCCCTTAAAAGGGGTCAGGACGATCCAGAAATAAAATATGAGGTAACTATACACCAACTCATGTTTTCAAACAAACCGGAGCGCCCCTAGCGGACGCCATCGGCGCCGGGCATGCGCGATGGAGTGTGGGCAAGACGCTTGCCGTCGCCCATAAACAAACCATTGGAAGGCGATCTTGTCGGCGTCGGTTTGAGTCCCCGTGCTCTTTTTGGTGCTTGAATTGGTGATTCTAGATCTTTGTGGCCATGTCAGACTACTTTAGTGGCCTCAGCGGAATTAACGAGGCTCGCCACGCCGCAAAACTTTGCACGAATGATGTGACATGCGGCGATTCATTCCGCGGGGACGCCGCCAAATGAACGGTAAAGCCTGATTCGTATGATGAGATTCCGCTCGCAATTTTCAGTCGCGACATTGCTCGGGGTGCAAAAGCATGAACCGTAGCTGAGATCGTCGGCGTGGATACTAAAAATCGCAAACAGAATCGGACCGAGTGAATCAGGAATAACTAGTCGATGATTACCACTGGTGACAATGATCAACATCTCTTTGTGTCTACTGTTTACACCGAGCCGGCTTACCCCAACCAACCTTCAAACTTAAAAGTCGCTTGAGGCCTGCACTAATTTTTTATCGTAATTACCGGGCCAACGTTTGGTCTACGGGCCGGTGTCGTCTGAAAGAGCAGATGCCTTGCATAACCGTTTGAAAGAACAGACGACAGTTCGAACGATCAGGAGGTCCTTTGAACTTGAAGACGCACTGAATGTCCGCAGGTGGTCCGTGCAACTTGAAGGTTTTCCCACGTTTGTGTTGGAACAAAACAAATAAATCTGATAACCACAAATATCTGTGAATTCAACCCAAGCAATCATTGTCCGACGGCTTCTGGTTTTCCATTTTCGCGGCACATATGCACGTTCTCGGACGAAGCGAGCACATGAAAACTGACCATCAAACCGTTCTAGACCCTTTTGCTAGAGCCCCAGTTGCGGTGTTTTGACGAGAAGGCAGGTTTTTGGCTGGTTTCTTTCAAAACAACGCAGGAATGCACGTCTGGCATGGTGACTTCCGCCCACAGCCCCAAACCGGAGTGTGCTCGACGCGCCACCACCGCGCCAGGACGTAACACAGTTGAGTTCGTGTATAGAGGAGGCACTGGTGCAGGAAACACAGCCAGGGAGACGCAGCAAAGTCTCGCAAACATAAAAAAAAAACACGAAAAAAACAAACAAACAGGCATGCGAGATGTAGGAGTTGGCAAGGAGAGCGTTCATTCATATTTATTTCTATTCGATGCTCAGATCCAACGCTTTCGTCTCAATGCGTCGTCGCTTTGACACTGTTTTAAATTGTTTTCTAATGCATATATGTAGTCGAACTCGAAGTCTTCTACTAGATTTTGCAATCTATTTGCACCGGCGGCAGTCGTCAAACCAGAGTTGCAATTTGTGCGGCCGGTAATGGACCTCCTGCATTATTTAGTGTATTCCGCCGTAGTCTTTATTTTTGTTCAGCTTGGCAAGAAAAGCTTATGCTGGCATAGCGACTAGAGCCCCGGTTCCCATTGTGCGATTTTACTGGCGAGGTCGTAGATACGACGTCGGGCATCGCAGCTTCCATCGTGCTTTTCTTTTGACGCACGAGCCACGTTCTAACATGAAACCGGGTAAGATTACACCATGTGACTCGGGCATAGCGCATAAGTAAACTGCGTAACAGTTGGCACGAGCACGGCATTATGTTTTTTCGCCTTTCTTTTTGTCATGCAGGTCGATTTCCCCGCACACGACCCACATGATAGGAATTCGCTCGCGATTCGCGACTTCCAGCACCACAGCTTTCAGCGCACTTTTTTTTTTTTCTGTACAAACGACGTCGCCGCTACAAAACTTTAAATAAAATTTCGTGACGTGACACAGAAGATACAATTATTGTAACACCTGAGCTTATGGTGCGGATTTCTTCCGCACCACAAGCTCAGGTGTTACAGTACGGTTTGTTATCCCGCTCGCCTCAACACTCGCTATTTATTCAGGAAATGCTCTTTTATTTAAAACGTGCTCCTTAAAGAGCCCCTGAAAAAAAAAAAAAAAGATAATGCTTTTTTAAACAGTGTCACGCGTCTCAAAAAATTAATTTTCGCGTAAGTTTTTTTTTTTTAGTGCAGTATTGACGGCGCGAGACGTGATTTAGTCGGGAGTGACCTCCTTTCTACTTGCTTTCTCTCGCGGCATTTCGTGCGCGTGGAGGAGAGGTGGATCGGCGTCACCTTCACGTTGTGGTGGAAAGACCGAATGACCATCTTGTTGAGAGAATGGCCATTCCTTGATGTCATGAACTTTCCGCTCAGAATTTCAAATCAATCTCTCGCCGTCAATATTGCTCTAACAAAACTATCTAGGCGTAATGCTTAGTTTTCGACACGCGCGTCCCAACGAGACTGCTAAAAAAAAAACAGCTTTTTTTCTTTTCAGGGGTTCTTTAAGCACAGGTGGAAAAACCCCTGAACGCCCAGGTTAGGTCTCACTTAACCATAGGCCTATAGCTCTCTTGTTGCACCTATTTAAAGCGTAAGGACTAGATGCTTACGTGCATTCTCCTCTCTAAGTGGGTCTTTCATATTGGCGGAGACTGTACTATTGCATACGATTACGGAGCGCGTGGCCTTCCACACAAGCTGCGCAACCTATATTTCGTGTCAGCTTAAGCACAGACGCAGCCGACGCTACGAGCTAATGGCACTAACCAAGCAGCGTGGTGATCGCAAGTCACTGGGCCTTTTCTGTTTATCATTGGTTCAGCGATCAAAGAACTTGTACAGAAACATGACGAACACCATGACGGTGCGTTTTTGACGCTGTCTGGTTCGGCCTATCAGCTGGTAGCGTCGGCTGCCTCTTGACTGAAGGTGAAACGAAGCATAAGAGTTCAGGGCGGGGGAGAGGAAGGCTGGGGAGGAGGAAGCCGCCGGACTGCTGGAGCGAGGGGGATGTTTCCTTCTCTCGTCTCCAGCAATCCATCTGCTTCTTGCTCCCCAGCCTTCCTTTCCCTCGCCCTGAACTCTTAACCTGTCGCCGACTATAGGCACTGATACGACTGCGGAGTGGAGTGAGGGGCTACGGGGTGTGCACATTGGAATAGGCTAAATAGGCGCGTACCCTCGCAGTCCCCTTTCAACGCGCAGTTTTATTAATTGCCTCTAGGAAAGGCAGCATGCATCGTAGGCCACGCTCTCCGCTATCCGCAATTCATTCGTACCCGATAGTACGTCACACGGTCCGACCAATTGCACGACTGGTCAGAAAGATGGACGAATGGTGACTTTCCAGATTCTCGGTGCGCAAAAGCCGGGTATTATGACCTTCAAGGTGCCCGGAGTGCAAAGCGTCAGCAATCTGACTTCTGACAGCGTAAAACTCCGGCTTCTGTGACGTCATTTGTTGTCACTCCGGGACCCCTTTTGATGTGTTGGCAGGATAGGACGTTAAGCACACCAGTCGGAGACGCGTTCCAGTCACCATGGTGCTAGTAAAGGCGCGAGAACGCGCTGTTTACTAACGAACCCACACAAGGTGTGGGCAAACGCGCAGTTCTCACAGGAAGGTGAGGGCACTGCTCGTCCACAGGAACCAGGTTCGTAGAGCATCTGGGCATGCGCCCTGCCAATAGCAACACCAACACAGCGGCGTGACGCGAGGGCCCTGTGTTGAAGTGTACGTGAGTTCGTGCACAAACAAAATCATGTGTATGGCTCAGCTCTGCTCGCAGACCTGTACTGTTGTCCGCGATCTCGACACTTGTGAGATGGAGCATAAAGCAGTTAATTCTAACTTTCCGCAATGGTGCTCTGCTCACGCTTCCTCTCGGCTTAAGTTAATGCTGTGAACGCAAGTTCTTTTGATATAGAGAAACACCACACCTCTACGATCTCGCAATGACGGCGCCTGCTCCAGTTGATCATGTGGGCGAACGGAGTATCAGTTCTACAACAGATATACGCGTCTTTCTAGATGCGTGACTGACTCGAAGCTTCCGTCAGCTCGAAGGCATAGCATTAGAACGGATGACGCGCATATCCGTTGTAAAAGTGATACTATTTGTTGAAGAGTCACTTTCTGGCTCCCCAGTCAGACCGTCCGCTGCACGATTGTTGGCAACACGAGACACTTGGTTCACGGCTAAAGCCCTATTAGAAGTTGTGGTTCCTATGATGACTGCCCCGGCGGTCGATCGGATACTTAGGCTCGAAGTTCGCAACGACTTCGAAACGGCATTACTATCGGATGCTTTTGGCATTCTCTTTCTTTTTGCTAGAAGTTCCTTCACCACAGCCTTCCACCCTCTCACACGAGCTCTTTCGCCGTGGATGTGTCCGAAGATGATCTCCCCTTTGACCACTTTCTTCCACTGGTCGCCGGAGAAGGAGTAGTATCTGTTCAGTGACACGTGACCCACGCCTGCGATCCTAGCCATTTCTCCGGTCACTAGTGCGTCGTCCACTGAAAGAAAAGGAAGTTCAAAGGAGGCGTTATACAGCGGCCGCAGAATGCTGCTTCTAAATATAACCGTGCTCCCAGAGCAGTACGTTGGGAAGACATTAGGTGGGTAGAGTTTTTCCGAAAGGTACCACGGGGACATGGTGTGCCTAAGAACCGGCATGCCCTCCCAAACGCAACAGTGAAACGCCGGTTTTTCTGACTCTGTCCTTTGGTCTATATACCTAAGCAGCTTATACAAGTTTAACACAATGTCGTCGTCCATTTTCACGATGTACTTCGCGGAAGGACAGTTGTCCATCGTCCACTTCATCCCATAGACGTACTTGTAGGTGAGGTTACGGTATGTATCCATGTAAGGAAAGATCACAATATCCCCGTTGTGCGTAGCTTCTTCCAGGACCATGTCCATTGTCTTGGCGTCTCGGGCGAGACCCAGAAAGAACACGATGGACCAGTTGTAGCGTGACATCAGCGTGGCGTCTCCGATAAACTTGCGTAGAATGTCACGATGGGTGAAGTGGTCGGGTGCGGTGTGGACGAAGAACAGGTAGCTCAGGTGGTCTCTGCACGTCGAAGCCACCGAAGAAGCGACCGGCAGGTAGCTGGTGTTTTCAACAGGATACGGAAGGCGGTCGTATCCGCTGGACAGCTGCTCGATGGGTCCCCAGGACTGGTGCGACTCCCAGCTGGGGTCCGGTGGCTCCGTGGGCAGCTCTGAACTGGACGATGCTTCGCTCCAGTCCCTTACGTTCGCAACCGACTGCTCGAAGAGGGGCCACGAGAGAGATAGGTCGGTCATGCGAACTTCGTAGTGGACGTACAGGTAAGTGATGTTGAGCACGGCAAAAAGTGAGAGAGTCGTCATGATAGCCCTCCGGTGTGTTGTGGTGGGATGCCGCCATCGGATACCTGGAGTAGAAGAAATGTTCTTTAGACTGCATGCTTGGTTCGAAGTTTTTCGGGTCTAGTGCGGCACCGTGCTATAAATAGATTGAAATAATTAACGATGAAATACCTTACGCTGCTTGAAGAGGAAGCTGTACACTTGAGCCTTTTTTTTTAGAAAAATCCTACGATTCTACAAAGATGAAAAAAAAAAACGCTGCATAACTATGGTGCACTGATTCTTGCCCTTCCTTTCATTGAAAATTAGCTGTCAAATTCTTTGCCAGGAAAAATTGATGAAAACACTCATGTGAACCATATACATTATGGCGTTGCACGTGGAACAAGCCTTTGGCCATTATGTTTTTAGAGCGGAGCTCTTAGGCGCCCGTTTCCACGTATAGGGGCGTCGCCGTCGCCGTCGCCCCGCTAAATTTAGCGGTAAACCTGATGTCACTTGACCTCAACACCAATTCATTTTCCGCTAAATTCAGCAGGGAAACTGAACTGGTGTTGAGGTCATGTGACGTCAGTTTTACCCTATTTAGAATGAGTTAAGTGGAATACTTTACTTGATATATTTTGTTTACGTTATTTCCGTCGTTTCCCGCAGACGTCTGACACAACCTAGAGCCTCTTAAGTCCCTCAACTACGCTTCAAGAATCAACCATGTTATTTGTTAAAATAGTGTTTATCAGTTATGTGACGGGTTATCTAAAGTCGTGAAAAACGCTTTTGGGTAATTCCATGTGAAACGTCCCAAACGTTCCGCTCGACCATCTTCGATTTCTAAAAAAAAAAAGAAAATTGCATGGCCTTTTGCCGCAGTGTCCGTAGCCATGCCTTGAGATATTTTTGACGAAAATTTTTTTTTATGATGTGAGCGCGATTTTAACTCTTAAAAACAGCGTGAAACTAGGCATCGCTGAATAATTCATAAAATATCAGCTTTTTAATGAAACACCCAACAATATTTTTTCTTAAATTTTCACGGCTTTCGACTTACAATGTGGATGGGCATCTAAAGTTTTGGTTAATTTAAATATTTTTTATAAAACTAATTTTTTTTTTAAATTGTACATTTTTGTTTTTTATCAGAAAATATCTAATTGCTCCTGGGGCTTAATAACATTTTTACCGGCTGCCCTGCAGGTATATAATCTATAAGAAATGCTTAAAACCATTTAATTAAATATCTTGCAGTATAAAAAATCCAGAATTTGCCAAAAAGTGCGTTTTGACGGATAAACAGCCGTTTATTTCACCTTGCGGTGGTCCAAGTAAAAATACAAAATAGGGTGGGTTTGGAAGGACAATCGATAGTCTTTTGATTCTGAAAGTTTAATCTAAGTAATTTTTGTTTAAAGCGAGAAAACAATTTTTGAAGTTCAACTCTCGCACCACAACCCGTCGTGGCTTCTTAACGCCTCTTCGCCGCACAGCATGCCACCTGCGACGGTGGCTGACACGATTAGGTTCAAAGAAAGAAGCAGAGTTTTCTGCCGCTTCCCCTTGTCCGTCTTTCCGGGTGCAAGGGAAGAAATGGCAGGTATCGTGTAATAATCGGAGATGCCGCCTGCGCGTAGCAATAGCAGGCCCGTTGTGCCCTTTGTACCGGAGGTCGGCTCGAAACGCGATGCCTAATCGACGGGCGGCGTCAGCTGACGTGGACTTCTCTTAAAAGGGAAACGCGACAATATAGCCGGGAAATCTAGCTGTCACGCATAGTACGGTGAAAAGCGGAACTATTCAGCAACGGAAGAATTTGCCGTTTCAAAGCGATTTATACACAAACGAGGCGTGAGCCTCCAACGGCATGCATTCGTTAACACCACATCGCCTCGTCATTTGAGATTGGCCGTTCACGGGGCTTTTCTGTTGTTGTCTACGCCTGTCCTGACGTCGACAAGAGAGAGTGATTGCGATGTGTACGTAAGAAACAGCTAGCTAAGGGCGAATTCGGGTGGTCAATCGTCGGCAACATATTTTGCCGGAAAACCGGCAATATTGTTCGCGTGGTCAGTTTCCGGCTAATCGTGTCAGCTATCGTCGCAGGTGGCGTGCAGTGCGGTGAAGACGTGTAAAGAAGCAACGCCCGGTTATGGCCCAGGTAGCACGAGACGTCGAGATGACTTCTAAATAAGGTCCTAGACGTTCGGCGACGTCGAGGTCCTTAAGAAACTTTTTTATCGACGTCATTGGTACGTCTACATGAGAGGTTTCGACAGTGTCAAACACGCGACGTAGTGACAACGTCATAAGCTTCACCTTGACGTCTTCAACAGTACTCGACGTCAGTTCGACTTTTTGTATGAGAAGTTTTTTTAACGTCGAGCACGAGACTCCCCAAGAATGTCCTGAGCAACACCGTGACGTCATCAACATTAATCGTCGTCAGTTCTACGTTTTCTCCGGGAAGCTATTTAGACGTCGAGCACGAGACGTCCCAACAATGTCCTGACCAACACCTTAACGTAATCGACATTATTCGACATCAGTTCTACGTTTTCTCCGGGAAGTTCTTTGAACGTTGAGCGCGAGACGTCCCAACAATATCTGATCAACACCTTGACGTCATTGGCAATAATTGACGTCCGTCCTACGTTCTCTCCGGGAAGTCCCTTGGATGTGGAGCACGATACGTCCTAACAATGTCCTGAGCAACACCTTGACGTTATCGACATTATTCGACGCCAGTTCTACGTTTTTTCGGGAGGTTCTTCGAAAGTTGAGCGCAAGACGTCCCAACAATGTCTGAGCAACACCTTGACGTCATTGGCATTAAAAGACGCCAGTTCTACGTTTTTCGGGAAGTTCTTTGAACGTGGAGCACGAGACTTACCGAAAATGTCGTGAGCAACACCTTGACGTCATCTACGTTATCCGACGTCAGTTCTACGTTTTTTTTTTTTTTTTTTTCGGGAGGTTCTTTGAACGTTGAGCGCGAGACGTCCCAGCAATGTCTGAGCGAACACCTTGATCACCCTGAACAAGTGCCTTATAGAGCCCAAGGTGCTGTCATATCCCTTTTGAAAATTTTCGTCAATGTCGGCGTTTTTTATACTGTGCATGCAATCCACCTTTCAGCCCGGCTGGGCTGCAGAAATCTCTTACAATATTATCATTCTCGTGGATGTTGTTTTATCAGGAATTGCTTAAAAAGCCGGGAATTCACAACAACAAAAACCAGGATTTGGCTCAGAGTCAGCGGGGCTGCTTATAGCATTTTTAGCTTTTTTAACTTAATATTAGCGTCTTTGAAGCTGTAAGAGAATGATAATAATGAAAGAGATTTCTGCAGCTGAGCCAGGTTGAAGGGTAGACAGCATGCACAGTATCAAAAACGCTGTCATTGACGATAAATTGTAGAAGTGATATGACAGGTCCTTGGGCACTATACGACGCTTGTTTAGGGTGACTCCGAATTACACCCATATCCGTGTAACCATAGAAGCGGTCGAAGTTACCGATCATTATGGAGCTGAAGGAACACCGTTCTTATGATTCCTGGAGTGCGGGCCGGGGCGATTGGGAGATTTAGCAAATGGTCTATTCCGTCCTAACACACATGCTTTCGCGAACATACCTTCAAGCAACGAAGCCAGATCCTGTTGACTCCATTGGTCCATGGTGACCCAGGTCGAAACCGTTATCAATTGACATCCCGTTCAGTCCAGACGTATGCTCGACGTTTTATGATCGTTAAATGGAAAGCTATTTCAACGTTGACATAAGGTTATCACAGACGTGCGCTTGACGTTTTATCTCATTAAAGGGGACGTTATGTTATCGCTAATATGACCTTCTCAATTGACATCCCGTTCAGTTTAGACGTACACTCGACGTTTTATGGTCGTTAAATGCGACATTATGTCAACGTTGATATAACGTTATTACTTGATTTCCCGTCCAATTCAGACGTCCAGTCGACGTTCTAAGGTCGTTAAGTGGGACGTTATGTCGACGTAAAATCCACCTTTTTTTTCCAGAGATTAGCCTTTCCATATTACGTCAAAGGGACCTGACGTTCAGACTTTCACGTTCTTTCGACATGTGGTTCCTGACGTCATCATGTTCTTTCGACGTCTTTTCAACGTGTTTCTGCTGCCTGGGGGTGCGAGAGTTCAACATCAGAAATTGTTTTCTCGCTTTATAAAAAATTACTTTGATTAAACTTTAGAAATCAAAAGACAGTCGACTGTTCTTCCAAACCCACCGTATTTTGTATTTGTACTTGGACCACCTCAGGTTTAAATAAACGGCTGTTTATGCGTCAAAACGCACTTTTTGGCAAATTCAGGAATTTTTTAGTGCAAGATATTTAATTGAGCGGTTGGAAACATTTTTTTTTATAAATTATATACCTGCAGTGCAGCCGGTACAAATTGCTATTAAGCCACGGGAGCAATTATATATTTTTTGATAAAATAACAAAAGTGTTAACATTTTCAAAAAGTGTTAGTTAAAAAAAATATTTAAATTAATCAAAACTTCACAAGCCCAACCACATTGTAAGTCGAAAGCCGTGAAAATTTAAGAAAAAATATTGTTGGGTGTCCCATTAAAAAGTTGATTTTTCATCAATTATTGAGTGATGCCTAGTTTCACACTTTTTAAAAGTTGAAACCGCGCTTAAAACGGCTACAAAGAGTGCGGGAAAAGGCCATAATTTTTTTTTTTTTTTTTTTTAGAAATCGAAGGGGGTCGAGTGCAACGTCTGGGATGTTTGACATGGAATGGCCCTTTTCCGTCGTCTCCTCCAGGAGCGTTAAGACAGTTCGCGGCAAACCAAAATAGGGAGTTTTAGGGATAGGTTTTCGCACATCCGATACTGTATACAATGGGCCCTCCGGTGGGAACTGCGCGTGTGCGAGTATTCTGTGTTAGCGCATGCGCAGTTCGTGCCGGAGGGCCCATCTTACCATATCGGACAAGCGAAAGCCGGTTTCCTAAAACTCCCTAACGATATCGCCCGATGTTCCTATAGAGCCTTTCCGAAATTCAGTGCCATCTGGTGGCTGAA